AAACCATCATCATATTCAATAGATTGGTACAATTTTCTTTCCATAACACAATGGTTGATGATAAGATAGACCATAGTAATCATCCTTTGTTACTCACTTGATTATCAGTGAATTCACTTAGTCAGACAATATGAGTGAATATCATGAATGACTAAAACAAAAGGTATCAATCAGCAGTAGTCGATTGAGAAATCTCAGGTTTTACAAGTAGATGGATACAGTTGAACACATTCAGTTTAAAGGATATTGCTAACTGATCATCTCAACTCTCTGTTCACTTATCCCCTGCAACACTACACTAACCTCTAATGTAAAAAGATAGTTTAGAATGAAAGAAGGAAAAGAGGAATATGAGATAGCAGATATGTTTTCAACAGACTAGTATTGTTATTCGATGATGATTGAAAGTGAAATGAAAATTTGGATGGCAGTTGGGTTCGAACCAGTGACCATAGGGTCACCAATTCGATACTCCACCAATTCAGCCATGACGTAGCTCAATCGTCATCACCGATTAACCAAAAGAAATGTATAATTCAGTGAAAAATATGAGGGAAATTATTCTTGTCATAGAACATCGAACATGTGAGGATATAAGATGGAATGAATAAAATTGGGCGAATTTAGTAGTAGAGTTGGAGTTGACCAGATCACGTATTTAACCATTATAAACCTAATTCATTAATCTATACATTGAAGTTGCCTTAACACATTCACTCCAACACTGCAACAACAAAGATATTTACAGAATAAGATAAGTGCACATTTTGCTTCACCACCTTTCATCAGGTGCAGACACAGCGCCTTCAATTCAAAGGGGAACATATTAGTAGTAGTAGTAGTAGTAGTGACGATGACCAATTATACTTTACATATACAGAAATACATGAAGATTGAAAATCACAGATTAGAAAAGATGCATCAAATTCTTGTTTGTGTTTGTTGTCTACAATGCATCACAAGACTTTCTCTCACAATGTTATAGAAGAGTTATCAGGTGTGCGCATGTGTGGACTATGCGTAGGTCAGTCACAGTTGAATGGTCGACTGTTAGACTGGTCTCGAGAATAGGTTTCTTCACTGGAGAAAGGCTACGGCTGGTGACCAGACTTCGATTTGTTATGAAATCATGAATTCTCTAAATGTGTGTCGGGGATGTCGACTCACCGACTGCGGTGTCTACATGACACTGAGAATCAGTGGTTAATGTCGCCGGGAATCGGTCTCACCACCCATACATTCCATTCATCATCTTTATTTCTTTGTCGTCATACGTTGACTTTGTTGAAGGTTCACCTGATGTCCCCTTCTTCCACTTGCTACTACTCTCGTGTACTTATTTCCTCACTTGTCCAAGATTAAGTTGTGGTAAATTGGGGTAATAATGCGGTCATGTCAGGTGATGGTATGTTGATTCTGACTGACTGTCATACATTGAAGTTGCCTTAACACATTCATTCCAACACTGCAACAACAAAGATATTTACAGAATAAGATAAGTGCACATTTTGCTTCACCACCTTTCATCAGGTGCAGACACAGCGCCTTCAATTCAAAGGGGAACATATTAGTAGTAGTAGTAGTGACGATGACCAATTATACTTTACATATACAGAAATAAGTGAATATTCCATGTCGAGGATTAACAATAAGTCGAGAAAGGTCAAGATTCATGATTGCAAACCTTATACACATGTGATGAGATAGAAGATTGTGAAGTTGTGGAGATGTGAGGCGAACAACATACAGACAGGAGTGTAAACGATGGGATTGTTAAACAATTGATGATAGGTCACGTAATCGTATGAGAAGACGATGTAGTCGAAAAGGGGGAAAGGAAGACTATATCGAAACATTTATGAGAAACCACACACAGTTACACTAAGGGGTGAAGGAAGGTTAATTACAATCTCTTTGTGACTAGTACACAGGTCAGATTGAAAATGTTTGATAGTGACAACTTCTACAAATCGTGTTAAACATGATGGTGTTTGTTTCTTCATTCTCCTGAAGATTGAAGACATATCCTTGTTGAATGTTGTGTCTGCATTAGGTAGGTGCCTGGTGATTATTCTGATATACACAGCTTACCACCTTTCAGATTCAGATTTGTGACAACATTCTCTTTGATTGGAGTAGACATTTATGGTCATTGTTCCCTTCTTCCTATGTACTTGCTTCCATAGAGCAAACATAAGTGAATTGATAGATATACACAGTTGGAGGTGAGTGACATCAGCTTGGATATTTGTCTGTGTAATCGATTGATTGAGATTCATAGACATCCCCTACAATCGATTTATGTCCAGTCACTGAAAGTATCATCTTAGGCATAATTACAAGGCTGGCTGAGTGTATATAATTTAGCATGTGTTGTGTTGATTATCCTTGATGACTGTGACATTTTGCCTTGTTTTCAAGAAACATTTATTCCATTAACTAGCTAAGCTAATATCTATTCTACAATCATGTGAGCTTAGTTTCCTGTCTCTATGTATCTCACTCAGTCCAATGTGTGAAAATGATTCTCCTTCCCTTCACTCACATGTGATGATTATATAAATAGAGTAAACGTTCCTCAAAAGGATGATGGCGGTGGAAGTGTGATTACCACTTTGTTGTTATTGTATGTGGTTAGTGTATGATGACTTGACCTGCATCATACGACCTGATCAAGATATAGATTAACCAATTGCTACTGGTGTGTATCTATTGTGATTTGACTGATAGAACATTTCCCATCTAGAATATAACCTAGAAATTGTAACATCATTCACTTTTCAACTTGTCATTTCTATAAGGAAATCAATCTTCGATATTGTTTTATAGACTTCAAGATTGAAATTTAACCTGATAGACTGAATGATGATAAGTGTGAAATTGTGGGGAGGGAGGTGAAGTAGTAATATATTTCTGAGGTTTGGCGTGCTACCCCACCTGCTTGTGTACAAGTTATTGTATATTTTTGAGTATTAAACGACTTTTTAGTTTACCATCTATCTACTATTTACACATTCGATAACTTGTGTACGAGTTGCATTCTCTGAAGAAACCACTTCCATGAGACACCGTCTGAAACCTCAAAAATCTATTTCTCCACCTACCTCATTAGGATTTCACAAATATGCTAGTCCATCAATTATTGATACCTTGTGTGTGTGTGTGTGTGTGCGCGCGCGCACTGTGACATCGAGGCGAGTCTTGTGTTGTATGCGAATCAGAGGTGTGTTATCCATTGTCATCATGATCAGTTTCGTTGAGGTTGAGCATACACTTTACAAGTTTCATTGAACAGTAAACTGAGGTTCAGATTTTCTTAACCTTCACCGTTTTTTTCTTGGTATAGTGTGCTGCTCTCGGGTGGTGAGTGGTTAGCTGAGGTAGTTGAGGTACCAGCTACTTCAGGTGGCATCGTTGGATGGTGAGTGTTTCGATTTCGACACCACCAGCCTTATTCCTCTACATGATATACATGCATGTCGAAACACTAAGGAACATGTGCCATTCACCGATGATCAATGTTCCAATGGAAAGCATAATATTTCATTGAGAAAGAGAAAGAGAGAGAGACAGAGAGAGATGACTTCTCATTCAACCTCTAGTTATAAGAATTCATTCATGTCACACTACACACCTGTTAACATCAAATTACAAATTGCATGTTCGGACTAGTCACATTTCCTTATGAAATGGATGATAGACAGTTGACCTACACCTAACTGAGGTGTGTTCCTTCATAGAAGAGTGAATAAGGATGGTGGATTCGGAAGTCAGTAATCCGGCTTCACCTTAGTTCATTATTCCACTCTGTCGATGAACATTACCGATGTGTATGTGTATGTGTATGTGTATATTCATCCTATTCATCCTATTTATATTCTTAAAGATTCTGGAACCAGTAGTACAAGGAGTGAATTATGCATCATATGGAATGACTTGAAACGTATAACCTTACATTATTGTCACTTCGGGTAGAATTAGTCAACACCCATGAAATATTATAATCTACCTTTGAGATGATTATGCAGACGACAGGTGGCGTTGTTCACTCTGCTTTTGACTTGTACAGAATGTGTCAGTTGGAATGATGATTTGAAAGGAAGCTGGGAAATCGAGTTATGGAATTTATTATTGAGTAAACTCTCTTTCACCACACTCATATCAGCCTACACTTTGATACATAAATAACGCCGCAGTAGGTCAACACAGGTGACAAACTCTGGTGATTTCGAGAGGATGAACTAACTCAAAGACTCAAATCTATGTCGTAATAATAATAGTGGTTTCATTCTGAAAAATATTTCAGGAACAGTGTACAGAACTTTCACGATGTCATACAACACTACATACCACTTCATGTGATTACGTCTCCTGCTAGCTGCTTAAACTACCCGTGATTTCAAGTTCTCACTCCTTACTACTAATACTTCATTTCAACTGTAGGCGCTGTTTGTAGCTGATGAAAGGCAGTGAAATAAAATGATCTCATATGTATTTCTGCTAATGTTTTTGCTCTTGCATTGTTTAAATTAGTCAAGTGACTACCGCCCACCCCACCCCCTTCGATGTGTATTTAAAACCTCTAAAAATGGTGTACTTTACCGAAATACTATGAAGCCATATAAGAAAGAAAGAGTAAGCAACAAGGAACTCTAACCGGTTGGCAATGAACCAAGCAAGAACCATCGCCCAACAAATATGCATGAGAAGAGAGTGGAGATGGATTGGGCATACACTGAGAAGACCACTTGGGGACATCGCGTTCCAGGCCAGGCCCTGAAGTGGAACCCAAATCGGAAACGACGAGTTAGGCGTCCGAGGCGAGGGTGACATGGAGGAGATGGTGTGAGGAAGAAATGAAAGCTTATGGGCAGTGGTGGAACCAGGTCGAAGAGACTGAAATGGCGACATGTTACTGAAGCCTTATGTTCCACTAGGAACCCAAGGGACAAATAATAATAATAACATCAACAATGAATAACAAGAATGAAAATACTAACCTAGTCGAAGTTCTCCGAAATTCCCACAGCCAATCTTCTTCCCAACTCGAAAATTTGGACCAACCAAAAGTGTATTCCCTTCACGTGATGAACGTGATGCATCTTGTTGCATATTATTTTGTTTGCCTGAATGTTGACGTTCGTCCTTCTTTTGTGAAGGTGTACCAGACCCTCGATGACCTCGATTAGTTGTAGAGGTCTGGTTGGTTTGTTGTGCTAACATCCCACACCAAAGGTCAATACGCAGATCGTATGCATTTGAGTAACAATAGATTACTTATATTTATTATATAAACACCAAAAAGATAGAGCTGAAAAAAAGTGAGAAGATTACTTCGGTAACTACCAGTAAAACGTAAGGAGATAACAAACTGATTAACTAATAAAAACCAACTCAGAACCTCGCACACAGGTGCATCGGTTGCAATCTTGACGTAGTGGTTCAGCTTTCACATCACAATCACCCAACAAGCTATGCTAGTAGAACGCTTGTTACTTCGAAGTTCAGAGAAGTCTGTTGGATAGCGGTAAGATGAAGAGCAGTTAGCGTTGCAGTATTTTACTATACTATGATGGACGTCTGACGTACAAGACGTATTGCTGCTAACTGGATAAGATCTGATAACACTAAGGCCTCTCTGATGTTGCCTTCTCAAGAAAGGTGGCGTAGAAAAGGTTGCCCCAAAAATAACATACTTCACTGTATCCCACTGTCTTCCGGTCCCAGTGGTATAAGTTTTCTCTATCTAGCGTTAGAACAACCAAACCTTGAAACAACATCCCATCAAAGGCCGTGTGTGATGGGCCTCAAGTACATGGCCCATGAACCCTATGGTCACAGAAATCTTTTTCTATTTCAAGTATCTTAAAAACAAATAGCCTTCCACTGTATGAGAAGCTTGGAAATTTTAACCGCTTGCATGCTTCCAACAATACACAACACACAATCAAACATAAGCTATCCTCCTCTTAAACTCTATCTCCTCTCCTTTGCCTTCACCTCCTGATACCAACATTAAGCCACTTATACCTTACATAACCTCTCACTTTACAACTATTGCCAACGATTAAAGTCATCGAGATAATAAACATTCTGATACACTTAACATGAAACATGACGAAATAACAAGTAGAATGCCTACGAAAGATGAGTGTAGAAACAGGCGAGTTCCTAGGGAAGGGGGAGGGCGAATTGAACTTGGTCGTACGCCTAGAACCCCTCAAGGTTTTTTTGTTTGCGATTTTGTACACCACCTATAGTGACCACAATTCCCAGTGTATATGCAATGCATATCTGGCTAATTTCTGCCTCAACACTCAGTACTGTTTGGAACAGTAGTCAGAGTAAACCCTTAAATACTACAAGGTAGTTTAAGGACAGTTCGTATGTTATTTAGTTATAGAGAGTTTCAGCTCGATATAAACTTTAGGATTCCAGACTCAGGTATTTGAAACACGTAGTTGGAAAATCTCAGATACTATGGCTGTTAACAGTTAGTTATTATCAACCTGAAATTACAGAAGAGTGAGAAAGTATTTCTACTAACAGCCGACTACAACAGTTGTAAATTCATCTAACAGGTTTCTACTCAAAGCAAAACAAGACCCACACAGTGTTGCGTAACATGACATGCCTAACAAGCAACATTTAAGATGTCGTCGGGTTGTGGCCTATTGCTTTGGGGATTTGACTTTCAACCAGTGGATTGTGAGATTCTAACCTGCCGAGGTTTACGCGGCCAGGTAGCAATACCAATATCCCTTACAAAAATAGGTGTGGCTCATTGCATAAGGTTGCGGAGTAGATCAGAATGTTTGTAGACCTTGTTGGAATGCTGTAGTTAGCAAGAATAAATCACGCACTATTCACGATGACGCTTCAACTAATGGACCTTTGGTTCGGCTCAAAAGTCGCATCATCGTTCTTTTTACCCCCAACGGTTGTCAACAATGAACAATAGACCCTTGATCACATGAACCACAATTTTGCAGCTGTGATCCGTTGACTTACATCGTTGACCACATTCAATCTTGCTTCAATCAGAATGGTTTCAGCAACCAGGTAGTATCATCAACGCCTACACAATGTGTGGAACATTGAGATAGGCCCTCTAACACTTACAGAAGTCGAGAAAACTGTAGTAAACTTGAAACGAGGAACGGCAGCAGCATCAGATGGACTAACCCCTGAGGTATACAAGAATGGCAGTAGAGTACTCTTATTCGGGTTGATGGAAGCGATAACTAGTTTATATAGTACATACGATCCCCTCTGACTGGACTAAATCACTGGTTATTCCAGTCTTCAAGAAAGGCAGAAAGTCCTCTTCTGAAAACCAAAAACAAATCAGGCAGAAGAACACAGAATCTAAAATTCCAGGTTCGATAATTCTTCTACGCCTGAGTGGAGCTCGGGAACAGAAAGCTCGAGAAAAAACCATGCAGGCTAAAGAAACGTCCGTAAATATCTCCACCAAAAACTTTCGCACTGCGCCACGTTTCACGACATCTGACAAAAAGTGTATTTCTAAATCTGAAAGCGTAATTCGATTCCATTGACCGAAAAACCTTATAGCAACGTCTCTCACTCAAAGGCGTGCCAAGTAACTACATCACTTTACTAAAGACTCTCTACTCAAACACTTGTAGACATGTTAGAGCCTATGGTCAGATGTCCACGAAACTATGCTCATCGAGTGGTGTCCGTCAAGGATACCAACTGTCTCCATTATTATTATTATTCAATTTTATCATAGACATACTTATGCAGGTCTCCCTCTCGTCACCTGATTATTACACAGAAGTTGATCTAATAGCAGGAGAATTCTCCTTACACCTAGAATACCCAGATGACATAGTCCTGTCAGGTGAAGACACCGACAAGATACAGGGCAGGGCCTTCTGAACACTTTGAGTGACAAGTTGAGAATGATTGGGATGCGTTTCTCACCATCCAAATGCAAATTGTTGCTACACAACTGGTCTCCAACGGTGACCCACCACCGCTAACAATAGACAGTCAGTCAGTCAGTCAGTCAGTGTTGTGCAGTGCTCGAGTGTGTCGACTACTTACTTCACTTACCTGGGAAGTAAGTAGGATCAGTCGTGACCTGGTGACTCGGTGGCCGATGAAAGTTTTGCACGAATACAAAAGGCTTGGTTGGCTTTTGCCAACTCACACCACCTGTAGCGCCGCCACCGTGATATCTGATTGTCTATTAAGGGTCGCGTGTGCCACACAACAGTTCACCCTGTTCTGATTTAACTGTGAAACATGGCCATTGAAGGTGGAAGACATGAGAAAGTTGGCTTCAGGTGTTTCACCACCATTGCCTTCGTAGTATAGGCCGTATTCCGTGGTGTCACCACACCACACCACACCACGTGAGTAATGCAGAAGTCAGGTGTAGAGTTTTATGGAGGTAGAAGAGGTAAGTCAGTTGACACAGTTGTGAACCTTGATCGACTGAGATGGCTGGGTGGTTGGTTGGGTGGCTGGGACATGTGTTACGTATGTCTAGTCAGTCGTCGTCTACCTCGGCACACAATGTTGGCCGAAGTAGGTTCAGAATGGAAAATGGTTCTTGACCCTCGACTAGACTAAAACGAGGCACAAGTGTATGAAGTGGCTGACTGTTGGTTTGAGCTATATGGGGTGATGCAGAATAGGCGGTTGGAGTGGGTTGGACAAGGGAAACCAGTGGTTGGAGACAGATTTTAGGTGTGAAAGTGGCTCAGAACCAATGTCAGTTACGCACGTGTATCCCCACACACATTATCCTCATCTTAACGACGCTATACCGAATCTCACCACTTTTTCATTCTTCCTTTCACTCTTTTAGTACTTTATATCTCTTTCGACTGGATTTTTATTTCTTCGTCTTCCCTTTCATTGCCTTATACTTGATATGCCGATGTGAGGTGTGACAACAGACCGTTACGCAGTAATGCCTGGTCCTATGTTGATTTCGATGGATATGGCTTAGTGGCCAGTGCACGGACCTGTACATACTTACATTAGTTATTGGATCATAACTAATAATGCCAGTTTTTATAAGCCGTTTATTCTGAATAACTGCAACAATTTCAACACGAGAACAAGTTCCATGAATTCACCAACAGGAAATGATGGAATGATATCTAGTTAGTATGATTAAAGAAACGAAGAGTTATAAATTGAATGACCTTTGGATTAAGATCCCTGTTTTAAATACTCACAATAGTTCTAATCTTTTTAATCACTTCCAAAAAGGAATGAAAATAATCGGTGACTAGGCATACGTAATGTGTGTCCAAATCATCTCAGTCAATCAAGGTTCATAACCGTGTCAACTGACTTACCTCTTCTACCTCCATAAAACTCTACACCTGACTTCTGCATTACTCACGTGGTGTGGTGTGGTGACACCACGGAATACGGCCTATACTACGAAGGCAATGGTGGTGAAACACCTGAAGCCAGCTTTCTCATGTCTTCCACCTTCAATGGCCATGTTTCACAGTTAAATCAGAACAGGGTGAACTGTTGTGTGGCACACGCGACCCTTAATAGACAATCAGATATCACGGTGGCGGCGCTACAGGTGGTGTGAGTTGGCAAAAGCCAACCAAGCCTTTTGTATTCGTGCAAAACTTTCATCGGCCACCGAGTCACCAGGTCACGACTGATCCTACTTACTTCCCAGGTAAGTGAAGTAAGTAGTCGACACACTCGAGCACTGCACAACACTGACTGACTGACTGACTGACTGTCTATTGTTAGCGGTGGTGGGTCACCGTTGGAGACCAGTTGTGTAGCAACAATTTGCATTTGGATGGTGAGAAACGCATCCCAATCATTCTCAACTTGTCACTCAAAGTGTTCAGAAGGCCCTGCCCTGTATCTTGTCGGTGTCTTCACCTGACAGGACTATGTCATCTGGGTATTCTAGGTGTAAGGAGAATTCTCCTGCTATTAGATCAACTTCTGTGTAATAATCAGGTGACGAGAGGGAGACCTGCATAAGTATGTCTATGATAAAATTGAATAATAATAATAATGGAGACAGTTGGTATCCTTGACGGACACCACTCGATGAGCATAGTTTCGTGGACATCTGACCATAGGCTCTAACATGTCTACAAGTGTTTGAGTAGAGAGTCTTTAGTAAAGTGACGTACTTACTCGGCACGCTTATCAGTAGTATACTCAGAACAAGTGTACTTATTTGAGGAATTTTGAGGTGACAGGTACTAGGCGAGACAAACAAGTCAATTGCTGACGCTGTGAACTTTCACTGCCTGAGATGGCCTGGACATATGT